CCGTGAGCCGCCGCGCGGGAGCGGGGCCTTCCCGGGAGCGCGGGGCCTTCCCGGGAACCTCCATGTGGGAGCGGGGCCTTCCCGGGAGCCTCCGTGCAGGAGCCCAGCGAGACACCCACCCTCAGGCACGCTGCAATCCAGGGCCTCCGGCACTGGTTATCCCAAGCTGGAGGGTGGTACCCGGGCTCACAGGGATGTCAGGGTTCCAAGGGAATCTCGGCCGAGTTGCTGGTAGCTCCTAGATTGAAGGTGCCGGAGGATGGGAGGCATCTCGGGTGTTTTGTCAGCTACGGAGCCGTAACAGCTGCTTTTCTAAAAAAGCAGATTGTTGGATCCAACTGTTAAGCTATTAAGATATCAGACACTATATTTTAAAATATGACTTTAAAAAAAAATTCTGTGAATAGAGATCTTGGGCTTAATGAACAACAGGTTGGAAAACGAAGCTCAAAAACATGTAGGAGAAAATGCATTTTCGGCAGTACCGAAAGCTGCTAAGTCCAGCTGGGAGATGGGGCAGGCACCGGGGTTGCAGGGGGCAGTGCTGGTTATCCCAGATAGCAAAGGAGGCTCCAGAAATGCTGCTCCATGAGGAGCCCTGCACGCTGCGATGGAGCGGCGTCGCCGCAGGCACCAGCCCTTCACCTCGGCCATCCTCCTCCTCCTCCTCCAACACACTTACCTTGCTTTAAAACTGCACCTCGGAGCGTGAGGGAGACTACCTATTGCAACAAATATTTGTGTATTCTCTAATTCCTAGCTCAGGGTACAAGGTTTATTCCTTTACTTCTGCTAAGGACAGGGTAGTCTCAGCACAAGGACTTTATCCTGAGCTCTGGGGATTGCAGCATAAAACGCAGCAGGTTCCCAAGGGCTGCAGCAGTCACTGCTGCGGACCTGGGGGTACATGGGCCCTGAAAACACTTGGTGTCCTGGTTAAAATACCTCCTAGCATGTTGCTTGTCCCAGTCCCAGCATTTAATGGCAACCAAAAGTGAATTACTCTGTTGCGTTTTGATTATGGACTGTGAATCTAAGCTACTGGGCTTTCTATCTATATGCACTGGTGGAATATGTGCATTTTAGCCCTTTATTCTTGTTGTTCACAGGCCCCGTGGATGAGTACATGCTGCCATTCGAAGAAGAAATTGGCCAACATCCCTCCCTCGAAGACATGCAGGAGGTTGTAGTTCATAAAAAGAAGAGACCCGTTTTGAGAGAGTGTTGGCAAAAGCATTCTGTAAGTAGCAAAGCGATCAAGGTCGTCCAAGTTGTGCTTTGGACTCCAGATTTTGTCATGTTTGTGTTGCTCTCCTTTAGGAAGAACTTTGATTTAATAATTATAGTTAAAATTAAATGGGCTTTGAGCTGTATTATCTTCGTTTTAAAATATTAGCTCTCAAGTGACTTGAAAGCGTTTGAGTATTGGTGAAAAAGGAGACTCTTGAGTTTAATTTTGGAAATTAGAATGTGTATGTTGAAATTATATTTAAAAAAGGGTAAGCAGTGCCACTTAAGCAGTTTGTGGCATCTCTTACGGAGGAAAACTGCTTTTCTGGTTTGGTTTTCAAGTTGAGGTTGGTATCAGCACCACCAGACCATGGCACCAGGTAGTGGAACCCATTTGTCCGCGTTGCCTGCGCTGGTTAAAGGGTGCAGCACGAATAGGACAGGTCCAAAACAAACAGGCCCTTGGAGCCCCCTTCCCCGGGCCTTGCTGGGGACGGGGCGCTGATGTGTGACGTGGCTTGTGTCCCTGCAGGGCATGGCCATGCTCTGCGAGACCATCGAGGAGTGCTGGGATCACGACGCCGAGGCCCGGCTGTCCGCGGGCTGCGTGGAGGAGCGCATTATCCAGATGCAAAAACTCACTAACATTATAACCACAGAGGACATCGTGACTGTGGTCACAATGGTGACAAACGTTGACTTTCCTCCCAAAGAATCCAGTCTATGATAGTTGCACTGGTCACGGACTCGTAACTGGAGCTGCTAAAACGAACGGGACGGCTCAGCCGTTCCCGCTCCGTGCGGGAAGGACGGTAGGTCTCCCCGGAACAGCGGCGAGAGGGGGCTTGTCCTTTGTTTTCCCTTCCCTCTCCTCCCAAACATGGATCCGTGAGACTTTTTGCATTCCCTGCTCACACCTGAAGGACACGTGGCTGAGAGATGGTAACGTGTTATCGAGGAACTTAAATGAAGAATATGGACCTGTACTGGCTAATCAAGTGTTTTAAAAACTGACATCAGATTTCTTAATGTCTGTCAGAAGAGACTAATTCCTTAAATGAACTACTGTTATTTTTTTTAAATCAAACATTTCATTTCAGATTTAAAAAAGGGTAACTTGTTTTTATTGCATTTGCTGTTGTTTATAAAAATGACTATTGTAATGCCAATATGACACAGCTTGTGAATGTTTAGTGTGCTGCTGTTCGGTGTACATAAACAAAGTAATCAAGTGGGATATAGCAAAGAGGCTTCCAAGTATTACTTAACCTCCCTCAACAAGGTATACCTCAGTTCCACCTCTGCTAAATTATGAGATTGACAACACTAACGAAATTTGATTAATAAATTGATCCATGTTTTGTAAATGATGTATTTCAAATTCACTGTGTTATTTAAAAAGGGTAAGCTATGCTTCATGCCAACAGTAAATGGCCATTCCTAAAGCAGTGTTTTTAGCCTTCTCTTGTGCTAGCTTGTTGTGTATAAAAAAAAGAAAAAGTGCTGTTTATTGAAACAAAATTTTTCTTCCTGTTTTTAGTTTAATTTTTTTCTTACCTCCATTTCCCAGAATATCTCATACATTTATTTAACTGAATACTATTTAGGTTTGCTGTGTCTGAGGAATATTTGAAAACTTAAGCATGCCTTTTTTTTAATTTTTCTGTGAGCTGTGACACTGGAAGGCTCTTAACTCTTGTTCTTTTTTAAAAAGCCTTTTTCCTATTTATGTTAGTGCAAGCTCTGCCCGCGTGTCTCGTTTCCCTCAGCAGGGTGCAGGGGGCTCTGCGCCCTGGTTCGGGATCACCTCAGGAAGCTCCAGCTCCCCCAGCTCCTTCCTCCGCTTCGCTCCGCTCCCAGCTCGGTGCCACCGTCCTGGAGCGCTGCCTCACGCCGGGATACGGAGGTTTCTCCTCGCATCGGACTGAAAATTATAGCCACAGGTTTCGATTACGACTGCTTAAAAATGTCAGGGACAACTCAGTTACGCTCGTAGCTTAAAATATGCAATGACTATTCAGAGGTAACGAATACCAACGTACGTAGCATGGATGGATGCGCAAAAAATAAGGAAAAACACGGGAACGGCTTTAACCACTCCAACAATATTTTAGAGGGTAGGAGGTCGAGCCTTATTCCAATTAGAACTGACAGGTAGGTGGGTGCCAGAGCGCTGCAGCAGGACCCTCTCCCTACACTTGTTGCCCGTCCTCTCCCCTACATCCCTCCAGGCCCCAGCAGGGCTGCAGAACCGGCCCGCTGGGGACGGGCTGAGCGCGTCCGCAGCAGCGGGGCGGAAGGGACCCGAACCGTCCCCCGTGCTCTCGGTCTGCTCTTGGGCACGTCTTTGCCCAAGGTTTCACGCAGCCCCGTGCTGGCGCGTTGGCACACGCTGCTGTCGGGTGCAGCTTGGTTCTAAATGAACAGAATCTCTTTTGGCCGCTGTTTGGATTGACGCTTTCGTTTTGCTTCCGTTGTCAGTGCGGGGCTGTTGAACCTCCCCAGCAGCACGTGGAATAGCTGATGAGTTCTGAACAAATCCGCACCCGCTCGTGCTTTCCTGCTGCCTCCTGGCTCCTGCTGAGCTCTAACCCCTCTGAGGGGCTGGTGCAGGCAGGTTAACAGGGCAGTAGCGGGCCCAGGGGCTGTCCCTGTCCCCCGTTGCAGGCCCCGGGGGTGCCTGGCTGCTCCAGCGCCATCCGTGATCGAGGGTGTAGAGCAGCACCGTGAGCGGGTGCTCGGAGCAGAGGCGCTGCTGAAGGGGCAGCACCCAGAGCCCTTGGGGCACGCGGCTCGTGCAGGGCCGGGGTTCCCTGGGGATGTCCCCGCGCGCGCTGGCTGCAGGGGGCTCCAGCCTCCGCTTCGCACCTTGGGGCAGATGTTTAAAGAGCAGCTCAGTGCGCTCTGCCCCTGCCAGGCAGTGACCAGACACGTCCTGTTCACGTGAGCATTCAACAAAGAGGGGTACCAGGTTGCTCCTCTTCTCCAGCGTCTTTTTGAACCTTTTTTAATGCGTTTATTTTTATTAGGAATACTTGGTACAAAATGCAGAAAGCTGTAATAGGGGGCAAAATGATTCAAGTAGCATCCTTGACGGAACATCATTTACCTCAGATACTCAACCAGCAGTACTTTATTTTCCTTGGCTTTTTTTTTTTTTCATTTCTTTTTCTTTTATTTTTTTTACTGCCGTTTCAGTCCATATCCTATTCGTTACCTCTCAAGATTTTGGTAAGCAATTATTTTACCCTTCCTCTTTGTATTTGTCAGTGTTTTGGGCACAGGTTGTTGTACTACTGTCGGAACGTGCTTGCTGTTTTCCTGCAAGTACTGAAAAACCAACCAACCCCCCCGCCCTCAATAAAGTGATTGTTAAATATTGTACAAACGGAAATGTATGCTCTTTCTCCCCATCTCCCCCGAAAGTTAAAATAAAACATATGACTACTAGGCCTTGCCTATGCCCTTCTTTCTGACGCTGCTGCTCCTCGCCGGCCGCGGTCCGTGGCGGAGCGAAGGGGCTGAAGCAGAACCCGCGGTGCTGCTGGTGCGTCCAGGCACAGAGCTGGGCCCAGTGCAGCCCCCCGGCATGAGGGGCTGTTTCGGAGGCACCTGCAGCTCCTGGTGCCAGCGGGGAGGTTGGTTGGTGCTCAGCTCTCTGCCCTGCCCCGTGTTTCTTCTCCGCGGCCTGGAGAACAGGAGGCAGCTCTGGGCGCTGCAGGGAGGGTCATTACGCTCCCTCCCGTCTGAAAACGCTCCCACATGCTATAAAACCTGCCTTGGGATAAAGGTTTCTGCTGCAACTTTGCTCTGACGGGAGCTGCAGGAGGCTCCTCAGCCCTGCGGCTGCCCGGGGAGCTGGACAGCAGGGAGCCCCTGCAGCTCTCCCTTAGGTTACTATTGTGCTGCTTTCAAAGCATCTCTAGGCTTTCCAGGAGGTGGAGGTAAGTTTTAAAACTATCAAAGCAGGTAAGAGAGAAACAAGCAGCCTTCAGGGTACGCAGGCTTTAACAGACAAGTTGAATATTTCCTCCTGGAGGAAAGAGACATTCCATGAATCCCGGAGTGAGGCAAGTGTTTCCTGAAGGCCTTAAAACACAGCCACCTCCAGGCCACCCCTGGGCCACCTTGGGACAGGGGGGCCAGGCTGCAGCTGCAGGATCCTGGCCTGGTTGCCCAGGAGCAGCTGCAGAGTCACACGGAAAAGCTTCTTCCCTCCTCACCACCACAGAGCAGCAACAGAGCAAATGCTGCTGCTCATCCGTTAAAGCCAGTTGCAATTAATAAAAAAATGGATGTAAAAAATCTCCTTAAGTCACACATTGAAGATAGAGAACCCCAAAGAGCAGCTGTAAATTGCCCTTAGAGATAAAGTACCCCAAACAGCACCTTTAAATTGCCCTAGAAAGGTGCCCCTGCTGCAGAGACCACGCTGGGGTTACAGCACAAGCCCCAGCCTTTGCTGTGCCACAGGGGCAGCAGCTCCGGCAGCTCCATGGGAGATTACAGAACTCAGGGAGTTGTCCCGATTTCTCTGAAGTCGGAATTGAGTGAGGGAAGTTTGCACTAAGCTGAGCAAAGCTGAGTTCAGCTAATTCATGGCAAGCAGACGATAACATTACTGTTCTCCTCAGCTCCCAACCCAAGCAGCAAAGCAGAAACTCCCCACTCATTCGTTCGAACATTTATTAACTGAAACATACTCCCTGTAGGGAAGTGTTTCTAGAGTTAATTCCAGAAGTTTTGAGGCAGTCAGTGATGATGATAGTTCCAGAAAGGTCAGAGCCAGCTGAGTGAGGAAGCTGCCCACTGCTTCACGTCCGTGGGGCAGTTGGGGTAGGCCTGCAGCGCGTCCATGATCTGGTTGCTGTCCAAGAGCAGCCTCATCAGTAAATACTCCCTCTGAGCACGCACCGTCGGCCTCTCTACGGGTTTCACTAATTCCAGTTGCAGGAGGTGTTCAAAGGCCTAAAAACAAGACAACAAAAAGTGCTGAGGAAGTGGACACGTGCATCCTCTCTGGCTCCAATACCTCCACTCATCTGGGATTTAATACCACACGCACCCTAAAATGCCAACTCCATTTTACTTTATTCCATTTCCCTTTGGAAATTGCAAAGCATCCTGCCCCTGTGTGCTGAATAAAGGCTGCTTTCCTCATGAAGGGAATGTTGGCAATCTGGGGTGTACGTGTGTATAACCGAGTGGGAATGACTTTGTTCCTGAGGAATACAAGCTGGTTAAACTACGAATTGTGTCCTGCTCATGGGGGCACCTGGATGCCTTTAAGCTTGACCGTGTAACACTGACTGGGACACCACAACGTTCTGCTCCCAAGTGGCAGAGCTGCTCTATTTTCGCTCCTGCAGTGCTGCTCCTGGGGGCTGCACTGATTAACCAGAAGCTGGTCAAACACTGCTCCAACACAGCAACACTGCAAGCAGCAGCTCCCTCCGCAGAGCTGGGCACAGTGACATTGACACAGCAGCAGCCCACGAGCCCAGGCAGCCCACAGCAGCGCTCAGCTCACAGGTATCCCTCAGTTGTTGGGCCAGGCACACACAAAACAGTCACACTTGTCTAAGCTCAAAGCAAGAAAAACAAGTTTTTATCAACTGGTCTTAATGCATGACGTTTTGGAGACATAATCAAAACACACACACTCATCTCTGACAAGTTGTGCTCAGGGGTTACCTTCATGACAACTGGCTTCTCAAAGTTGTACATACAATGGGCCTTCCTCTGTATGAACTTCTGAAACTCTGTGTTAAGGAGGAAACAAAAAAGTTAGTGCAGGAAAGATCCTTGGGCTTGGGTATGTAAAGATAATGCCTTCCTCTCACCATTGTAAACCATCTGGAAGTTAAATGGTTCTCCTTCATAAACATCGTTTAAGTGTTTCATAGCTATAATTAGGCAAGTTTCCAGGACAGACAAACCTAGAAGGAAAGACAAGAGCTCTAAATATTTCACTTAAGCATATCAGAAATGCAAACAGTTTACGTGTTCTATTTTTAATCCTCAACTTATGATATGCTGTTGACCTCATAGATTTTAGTGTTTTGGATCCTCTGTAATGCAACCACTGCCTCCAGTGGAGAGGCTAAACAAGTGAGAATATTAGTTTTCTGGGTATATGAAGAAAGGATTAAGAAGTAGCCTACTTCTTCCAAAATACAAGGAACTTGAGTAGAAAGAAAATAAAACAGCATTACAGATTGCTGTGATGCTGCTAAAAATTCCTTGTCCTGCTACGCAATGTACAGCTTATTCTATAGTACGTCATGAAATGAGAGTTTGAAAAGATTATTTGCAGTTCCGAGTTGTGAAGAAGTCCCAGAGCTAAAAGGCTATATGCAGGCAGATGTAGGAGGTGGCCCAGTGCACGGCAGGAGCCTCCCTGTCCCGGGAGCTCCGGAGCCCGGACGCGCTCCGGGGCGCGCGGAGGAGTCGGTCTCACCGTGCACGATGTTGGCCCTCGAGTCGCCTCCACGCTGCTTGCTCGCCTCCAGCAGATCCGCCACGGCCAGCACGGGCTGCTGCACCGTGACCTTCCGCAGAGCCAGCATCTGGAAGCCAAGCACAAAACACTCCTTTACTCATTGCTGGACATGTGAGGGGGCACAAATTAACACATTTCCCTTGGAGTCACTGGAAACACTAACAAATAAACCCTGTGCAGGCAGTGGGATTATACTGAAAACCTCCTAAATAACTAGCTTTGCCTGGGAGGTTTGAGACTGTGTCTGGAGCAACACGCGGTGGGTACTGATCTTCCCCTGGAAACAGGCATCTCTTCTGACAAGGCAAAATGATGGGAAGCTCCGAATTTAAAAATTGGTTGTCACTGTAAATGGAAGTCTTTGCTATTGGAAGACTAGTCAATTAGCAACAGCTCAATTTTCCAACCCGAAATTGTGACAAGCTGCCAGGAAGCCAAGAGGCTGTGGAGCATCCGGGAAGACGAGCAGGAGGTTGTTACCCTCTCAGTCCTGCCCATGAGGGGAAGGACAGGGCCTTCCACCACCCCAGGAGCTGCTGGACAGGCAGCACAGCCAGGCACGACAGGCCCTGGGGCTCTTACAGGACATGGACGGGGACTTTTTAACGCAGGGAGTGGAGCAGCCAACAAGGAGAGGTGACGAGCTGGGGCCTGCAAATACAGGAGGAGCAGCCAGAGCCTGGGCTCCAGTGACCAGGAGCTGGAGGAGTTCAGGTCCAGCAAGGAAGCACCAGGGTGGTAAGTGGGACTGCGATCCTGGACATCAGGGGGCAAACGGCCTCTTCAGAGACCCACCTGGGACCCATGGACCAGGGCCCTGGAGGGAAGGGGGCTCCAGGATCCAAGCACCTTTCCCCACGCTCAGGATCGGCAGGGGAGGGCGACCTGCGTGGCTGAGCAAGGAGCTCCTGGCAAAACTCAGACTGGAAAAGGGGCTGGCCCCTTGGCAGGAACGCGGGAGTGTTGTCAGGGAATGCAGGGATGCAGTGAGGCAGGTTAAGGCGCATCTGAAATTAAATCTGGCAAGAGATGTCAAGGACAAGGGCTTCTTCAAACACTACAGCAGCAAAAGGAGGAGCAGGGAAGATGTGGGTCTGCTGCTGAGTGGGGTGGGTGCCCTGGTTGCAAGACACAGAAAAGGCAGAGCTGCCGAATGCCTCCCCTACTTCAGTCTTTCTAAGGCCAGCCCAGCCCTCTGGAATCCCTGGACTTTTTCCTAAAGGAAAGGAATTGCGAAGATGACGTTTCTGAGCTTCAGCCTCTGAGCTTCAGGTCGCAGCTAAGTGAGATTATTCACCTCTCCTCAGCTCTTTGTGGCATTCTTCAGAGAAGCCTCTTGACGGGATTTAGAAACCCCCTGGAGCCACAGAGATGGAGTCAGGTGCTGCCGAGCTGGAAATAACTCGCAATCTTGTAACCAACTCCAGGTCTCTCAAGAGGAGGACTGTGACCATACTGCGTGCTTGAGAACAAAAGCCACAAGTCCATACCCACCCCGAGAAGGAGACCCCAGGGTCAACACCGGGGAGAGCACGGAGCAGTCCAGGCACAGCCCACAGCAGAGCTGAACATGAAATGCTGAATTACACAGCACAGGGGCAGGGAGGTACAGGGGGCTTTTCATGCTGACAGCAGAGATGTTCTAAGATGTTGAAATAAATGGTACTTATCTACTGTAATGAACATTAGTGCTTTCATGTTAACTGTGGGAGATCCTCTACAAAGGCTGACAACACATTAAGCTCATCTGTTGCCCAAATTCGTTGTCAGTGTGGCCAGACTTACTGAA